AGCAACACCTATAGAATGTAAGTTTACAGTACTGTTCTGCTATTTGCTTAACACTTACTAGCCTTTTAATTAACACCAGCTGTATCTGGGGCTGCCAACCCTGCTGGAGAACTGTACCTCAGACGATGGTGGCACTTCAAAAAAAATCAAACTTCAGGTATTATGCCAATCAAGGGTCAAGCTACTGTCAAGCAGACCCCCCTTGACTGCTTCCTAGGAGGCATTAAGATGAGGAGTCTAGAGGTAACTCAACGAAGTTTTTCCCAACATGCCTTTCTGTGGGAAGAACTTGGAGTTTTATTTTCCTGATAAAGGAACTTGTATCACTCTCCTTTATCCCATGTCTTTAGGGACAGTTGTGCAAGTAACTTATACTTCCAGGATGATTTACAAAGAGGGTTTCAGCATATTCTATATCATAAATTCACTAAATCATCTTTGGCAATTAAAAAGCAGAACACAATAACTGAAAGTAGACACTTCAGAACAATAAAAAAAATGAACTGCCTTGTTAAACTTTGTCTTAGCCAAATGACACCATGCTTTGCTGTTATATCAGCATTTGTGAAGTAAAAGCTGATGTTAATCTGCAGAAAAAAATGTTCCATGCATCTAATTTGTCTCAAGTCATCAGTTTACCAAAATCAAGTACAGCTGCCACTTTCTTCATTGAAGTCATTTTGCTGACAGTCGTTGCAGCATCAACTGCTAATGCTCTCTAGAATGCACCGTTTGTGTTTGGAGAAGTGCCAAAACTATATTCAAAAATAGGAAAACATCTACTGGAATACACAGTGAAAGCCAGTTCCGTTCCAAAGGCCTTTCAACCTTCACATTCTGCTCAAAACAATGACTCAAAGTCAGTTTACATAGATATCTAACATGCAATTTAGACATATTTTACATTTCCTGAGTATGGGGTTTTTTTTTTTTAAAGTATCATTGTCATTTTTCATGTTTGTGTTGACTGTTTATTTGTTCATGTTTGTGTGTTAACTGCGCTGTTATCTCTGACTGGTTTTTACTCTGGCACAGCAAACTTAACATTTCATCTCGAATTCTTTAAGATAGGAGAATAATTTGAGCAAATCAGAGTTCTTGGCTTACTTTTTCCTAACTTCTGCTTATGTCACTAGCAAGTACTGTTACATTCTACAGATTTGGTCTACAAACTTTATCAAGTTTGTATATTATACTGCTGAATTATATACAAAAGTACTTTTAAATCGGCCACATGTCTTTTTGTCTCAATATAAATTAAACAGTCTTGTCTAAAATCTGTAAATACACAGGCTGATTTGTTACAAGTCATACACATCCAGACTCCACTTTTCTGGATTTCTATTTGCTGCCACCTCAGTCATCTAAGCCAGCCACAACTGAAAGATCCATTAAAAAAAAAAAAATATATATATATATTTTATTTACTCAAATAGGCTTATGATAAAAAATAAAAAGCAACAATGTACATACAAATGAAATTCACTTAAAAATGTTACAAGTATTCTGATTTTTAAACAAATGTATTTGTATCCCCTGTAGTAAAAATTACAAATATCAAATGTTGTATCTGGAAAAGCAAATAGACTGGAGGAGACTTAAATTGCAGCTAAAATGCAAAAAGTAGCAGGCCAATTAAACTATTTTCTGTATAATGTGAACCTGCTACCACAAAGTCATTTCAAAGCACTGCACACACCTACGCAAAACACCACAAATTCATCCTTTAAACCTACAAATCTGTGCAGCACTGTTTCAGATCAACTAGTGTATCACTTCTCCTACACACTGTGAAAGCCTGTTGCGCCAACATAAAGCTCGAGGATTTTGAAAAGATGAAGGGTAAGGTTCGTTCAGGAAATAGCAGGGAGCCTGCAAACTCTTAGATCAGTCTTAAGTGACCCTGCTCATAGACCCTTTGGTGGCAAATTTGGCAAGAGGGCTCTCAAATTCTATTGGCACACTACAATACAGCATACTGTCCTCTGTTATGCTGACAAATGTTTGCAGGGCTGTATTATGAACGAGGTGAGAAACGGATCTGGGTTTGAGAAAAGCAATAGAGAGATTTTTTTTTTTTTTAAATCCAGAACAGTTCTCTTGCCTGGTTCAAAGCACAGGCCCACAACAGTTGTGTCGGCACAACCTGGAGCTCCAGCCTTGCATTACCGCTCTTTTAGTGCTACCTCCAAAACCTGAAAGCATAGCTACATGAATACGGATTATATGACAGCAGCACCATAATAAGTTTGAGTTCTTGGAGTTCATTTGCTGCCAGTTCCATAGCTTGCCACCTCTGCAGCTGTGACAATACAGTTTTTTGGACAAAAACCAGACGACTGATATTAGTATGTTAAAAAAAAAAGTCAAAAACTGAAAAAGAAAGGGAAGAGAGGGGAGGGGCGGGGAAGGCATTTTTAATCTGGATTATTCTAGTAACCCAGGTTATATACAATCATTTGTGGGGCTATTCTAATAACAGTAGTTAGGGGAAGAGGAGAAGGAGGAGGTAAAAGAAAACTTCCCAAGTCAGCCTCATCACTAAAGCCAGTATGTTAAGTAATTCTGCTTCAAAAATTTCATCGCACAGATCTTGGTACTGTCACACAAATATGGTATACCTTTTCTTCATGAGGAAAGAGCAACACTCCACATTTCTACTCAGTTATTCTGACCTCTGCCACTATCACCTCCTACTACTTCATCAGAACATCCATACGTATAACCTGTAGAGCTGCTGCAGTCGTTCCACTGAGGTTAAACTCTACCATCCTGTAGATGCTTCTTACCCAAGGAATTTGGTCTACATGAAGGAATGTGGAGTTTCACCTGCATTATGGTTCAATTAGATTACTATGTTACAGCTGCTCTTCATTATTATATGAAAATATCAAATAGAAATATAGGTAACTATTAACACAGTATTTCACCTCTTAGCTATACATAAATGACAGTCTATTCTTATCCAACAACTTTAACTATGTCAGTTTACTTTGTTACTTTAAAAACACTTTATAGTGTTATAGAGGTTATAGTAGTACTACAAATGATGCAACGTTAACATACCTGCATACATTGGTAATGTCTGCACCTGAATAACCCTCCATTTTCTCAGCTATATTTGCAAGGTCAACATCATCAGCCAATTCCAGCTCTCGCAGATTTATTCTCAGGAGCTCCTCTCTACCTTTTGCTAATCAAAGAACAGAAAATTAAGTCTATACAACCTACTTTCTAAAGAGAAATAAACAAATTTAAGAGGGGTAGGAAGAAGAGTGAGAAAAGATTCTGTCCTTGTTACAAAGGTAACGTTCAACACTTAGATTTAACACGATCCTGAACGCACACATGTATTTGCACACATGCATCAAGAAGATTATCAGTATTCATTCAGTTTTGGTTACCTGATCTTAAAAAGTTTTCATTTTGGTCTTTTCAATCCCTTCTCCCTGTAAAAGTTTATACCTGATGGTAGAGGAATGTAAATTCTCTTCTCTAGTCTCCGTCTCAAGGCTTCATCAATATCCCAAGGAAAATTAGTAGCAGCAAGTACCATAACCATCTTAGAAGGATCATCGTTTTCAGTAGCCCCTCCAACACCTGTGTTGGAGAAAAGAAGAAATAAAATTTGTGTTTTGTGAAATTGTATGCATAGAGAGAACAACAGCCACAGTTCTACTATATTAAAGCAACTACTC